GTTTACACTGACACCAAGGTTGTTATGACTCATTCAGTTTGAGATACACCTTGAATTGTTAAATCACAGTTAAGAGGTTTTCGCTGTCAATCTGTATGGCTTGTTTGCAATTTTGCTCCTAATCCAGACACCCATAAAATGGATGGCACTTGAAAGCATCTTGTTTCGCAGATACACTCATCAAAGTGATGTTTGGAGTTATGGTAAGTTATGGTTGTTTGTGTGAGCGTGTGTGGTGTTTTACAGCATGTGCCAATAAATAAACTTTCCTCTTGAAAGCTGCTGTTTGAGGATTTTGGCATGGAGAGCATTTAAATGTGACATCCCTCTTCCCGGACAGGGGTGACAGTGTGGGAGATGATGTCATTTGGTGCGGAGCCGTATGCATCGGTGCAGCCTCAGGAGGTGCCAAGTCTACTGGAGAAGGGCGAACGACTGTCTCAGCCCCACATCTGTACCATAGACGTCTACATGGTCATGGTTAAATGTGAGTGCGGTAAAACATTGCGCCAGTATGCACAAACACACAAAGACGCGATCTGAATTGTTCTACTTCTTCTCTTCAGGCTGGATGATTGATGAAAATATAAGGCCTACCTTCAAAGAGCTGGCCAGTGACTTCACTCGCATGGCAAGAGACCCACCTAGATATCTTGTCATCAAGGTGAGGCTATCATTGTCACTTATTTTACAGCCAAAGAACACTTGCTGTTTGCTTTGACCTTAAACCCTGTACTTCCATGTAACTCTGTAGCTGGAAGGAGCAGAGACGTCCTCAGGAGAGATCCATCGAAGAGAATCAGAGCGAGGGCTTCTGGAGGCAGATTTGGACGACCAAGACGAGGAGGGCCTGGAGGATGGTTTGGCTACTCCTCCTCTCCAACACTCTCCATCTTGGAGTCTGTCTCGTTCACGGATTAATTCTTACAGGGTAATGAAATACACCTTAGGTTTGATACATAGTTCGGACCATGATGGCTGTATCAGAGGCAAAGGAACCAGTGCATAACACTTTTTATTTTCTGATTTGTAGAGTGGCACCTCTCAGGCTGGACCTGTGGGATATCTGCCAATGACCCCCAGCCCTGTGGACAGTATCCGCCAGGTGATACAGACTCCCACTTTCTCATGAATGCATTCAAACAAACACACAACCTGTAAGACTAACGCTGTTTGATGCTTGCATTGCACAGGTAATAAAGTAGATTTATCTGTAACTCTTCACTGAAATCAGCATTAGTACTACATTTTGCCAATATTTCATATTAAAATAAATTTTATGACCCAGCACTGTTACCTCAGGAAGTGAGACAAAATGTGTCACCAGTCCAGTCCCACTGGTCTAATTTTAGGGTGTCCCTGACTAAGTATTTACATAGTTGAATCAGAATCGTCAAGTCCCGCCTATAGTCGACTGATATTCGAATCATGTGTGTTTTTGTGTGCACGGCGACTTCGATGGGGGTGGCGGCTCCACTTTAATCTTGAGAAGCTGCAGAGCTGCAGTCTCTATTCATTCAATGTACACTGTAAATTTCCAGCTAAACTGACACTTATTGTTGACCATTTTCTCTCTCTCTCTCTCTCGCCTGCCATTCACCGGTCATGTGCAGAGACATCAACAGAGATAAATTATCCGAAAGTCCCGCGAGGTGCGGACAACTCGGCACAACACTGGTGAAACTGGTCTCTTCAGCAAGCGTTCCTCTTCCGCCACTACACATACATGCTATTGCCTACACATGCGCACTGACAACCCAGGGTTAGGGTTACAATTTTGAATTTATTTACACACTTAAAAACATTTTTTGAAAGTCGTTTTTCTTTTTACATGTTTATTTACAGCATTAAACATTGAAATGTAAATGCTCCATATTTGCCTTTCTAGTCTTTTTGACCACACAAAGCGCTTTTACACTACATTCACACACACTGAAACAGAAACTAACATTCACACACTGGCGGAACAGCCACCAAAGGCAATTCAGAGTTCAGTATCTTACCCAAGGACACTCCGACACGCAGCCTGGAAAAGTCGGGAATTGAACTGCCGACCTTCCGATTAACTGGCAACCCGCTCTACCTCCTGAGCCACAACCGCCCTTAATGTATATTGTAATAGGCTGTATATTAAGTTAGTGGGAGAAAACTGGTAGTTCTATGTAAAATCAGGTTGAGCACCCCCATATCGCCAAAATGGTATGACAATTGTTTCTCTGCGAAGCTTTGACTGTGAGATTGACAGTCAAATCAGGCTCCGCCCACTGAAGCATCGAATCTTCGACTATTCGGGGTCAGCCCTAGCTAATTTAAAAAATATTGGATGCATTTCCGCTGCATCAGTCCAAATGCTTTGCTCTTCTGTCCCAGCTGTGGCTTCAGAGGTCTCGACTAAGCTCGGTGCGGACACTGCCTGAGAGGTCAGAGGTCAGGGGGAGTGGCAGAGAGGCAGAGCTGCATGAGGAAGGTTCACGGAGCGGGAGTCTTCACAGGGCCAGGTTCGGCTCCGAGAGGGGTAATCCTCACATATCAGTCAGCCGGCCGAGGAAACTCTCGACAGCATCAAGTCCTTCCTCGTATAAGGTGTGGACGGCAGAGGAAGAGGAGGAGGTGGACCACTACGGCTACGTCCTGGCTGGGTCACCTGTTGTTACTCCAGAGAGAGGTAAATTAACAGGACTAAGATGGGAGCATGTGGCACATTATTTGCTTGACTGTTTTGATAATTATTGGTAAATTATGGCATTAACAATACATAATCAAGGCTTATTCTCCTTCTACACACTCTCTCATGACTCACAGTCTGTAGAGTCTCTCATCCGGGACGAAGAAACTCAAGACTCAAGAATAATCTGTCTCTCGTGGTAATAAATCCCTCCCAGGAGTATGAAATCATGAGCAAAGAGTCTGGTGCTCCTCTGTGCTCGACCAGCGTTGTCTTATCACAGGCAGACCCACCTTCGGTGGCACTTCATCGTAGAACCTCACCTTTACCTTCTCCAACCCTCATGGCTCCATTACCTGCAGAGGACACAGCACATGTGGAAACTCTGACACCAGTCTCATCTGTGAGGAGTACGCAAGTAGATGAGGATTATGAAGGAAATGTTGCAGAGCAAAGAGACTCCACAGACAAGCGTCAGCTCACAGAGTCCCCCTCTGCTAGTGGGATCAGAGCTGACCAAGGAGAGGCAGCCCAAGAGATAGGCAGGTATGAATACATGGATATTAGGCGATCCGACTCACCAGAGGGAGAGGATACAGCAGGGGAGAGACGTGGGAGTCAAACATCTGCAAAGAGTGCAGAAGAGGCAGAGGAAGCAGACCAAATGGTGGAGGTGTTGAAAAAAGAGCACGGGGAGGAAGAGGTGAAGTACCACAACACAAATAAACAACCCACGCTTCAGGGGAATCTGAGTGGTATGCTCATGCCCAGGCCAGATGTGCTCCCAGCTAGGGGAGAAAAGATGGAGGAGGAGTATGAGGAGATGACCAGACTTGGAGTGGTGCCCAGTGGGTGGGAGCAGGTAGACTACCAGAACCTCCCAGTGAAGGGGAGGGCTGTTTCTGAGGAGACGGGCAGTGGCAGGTGTGCAGGGATTGGGGGATACATCAAGGTGTGTGCTGGCATCAGGGAGCCTGGCAGCAACACATCATTTGACAACCCAGACTACTGGCACAGCAGACTGTTCCTCAAACCAGATGCTGTACGCACCTAACAATGTGGACTGGGACATAACAGTTACTTTTCATCCTGTCATAAATTTGGGAAGTTTTTCATCTTTTACAGCTTTTTTTCTTTAAATTCAAGCACGCAACAAACTTTGAAAGATAAAAATAATAAAAAGAAATACATCTCATTACACTGTTTTATGTAGAAAATAAATGTTTATGAAACCAATTGTGAATTGGTAGTTGGTACAGAACCATAAATTCAAGTTTATACTGTAGCAGTACAATGAAGTGACCATGTTGGAGGCCTATTTCTGTAGAGCAGTCTTTTTGTACAATTTATTATAACATGAATTATTAAATACGATTATTTTGCAAATATCAAATCACTTGTGTCATTGATTTGTGTGGAGTAGTCTTTCTTTTACATTGCTTTGTTTATAAAATAAAACAATAAAATACCGTGTTTTTATTTCTTTATTCTTTCTTTATTGTGATATGTTATATAAAACGAAAAACGAGTTATTATTGCACAGCTCCACCTTGTATTCGTTCATATCATGGTCTTATTATACATCCATGGGTCATACTTGCAGTACATAGGCCTACCATGAGGCCTACTAACACTATGAACAGCGGAAAATGAGATGGAGGCATGTGAACGCATCGGTGCCACTCGCGCGCGATTTGGTCAGAGGCAGATCAGAGATGATCAGAGAAGTGAGAGGTTAACATTAACATTCTTCCGTTTTCATTCAAATCCAGTTTTGGGACTAACAGGTTCACAGAATTATTGTGTAAATTAAAGAATAGATTTTAAGTACTTTTGTAGTTGTCTTTAGATGCATTAATGCTAATGCACTTTGTCGTAAAAAGTAATGTGAACTCTATTAACTTCATTCGTGATGAATAGGTTGGGTGGAACATTTCATATCTAGGTACATTTCACATCTTAGAAATCTTTCCCTTTAATTATATTCTACTTTGTCCTTAATAGTATCTCTGAAACATAAAAATGACATACGACTTACAGAAAGTATCAACTTGTCATCCTCTTTATTTTATCTACTGGCCATGTTGGCTGCTGTTCTGCAAGCCTTGATATTTTCTTTTAAAGTAATAAATACAGAAAGCATAAATTTGCAGCTATATATATTTGCAGACTATCCTGTTGGCTATGACCATTAGTTCATAGTCTAATTGTAAATGCCCGAAATGCATATCACTCCTGCCTTTTTCGGGTGTAACACCCAATACACCAAGCTAGGCCGATAACTATCTTGACTGCGGAGTGTGTCTTTGGCAGCAGCCAGTCGAAACGGGCGGGCCGGTGCAGAGAGCAGCGTGGTCTATCCTGTGACTGACACCCGTCGGGTAAAAAGTTACTCTGAGTTCGCGGACACACTGCCAACATGTCTGGAGATGACGAGACACAGGAGCAGACCATCGCTGATGACTTGGTGGTCACCAAGTACAAGATGGGGGCCGAGATTGCGAATCGTAAGTTAAATGCAGCGTTAACGTGCCATTTTGACTTAACGGTCTGTACGGATCCGTCCGATGGTAGCTAGCAATGTCAGCTAATCGTACCCAGCAGCAGCTGTGCCATGTGCCGCAACGATAGCAACGGTAGATCACATTAGAAAGCGGGCTGTGTTTAATATGAATGACACTGTACACCTTAAGCTTGCAATACATTTAGGTATTGCTTTTCTTTACAGTAGCCCGTATTTGTTTAACGTCACGTTGCTGTCATGTTAGCCTGGTGAGCTAGGAAGCTATGTGGCAGAGCTCCTTAGTAGCGAGCAGTTAGCTAACCGTAACTGCTAACGCAACCGATAACAATGACAAGTACGAATCTGAATGACGGGGTTGTTCCAAGTGAGTGGCTGACATTTAAATATATAGCGTTTTCAAATCGAGACAAATACAATTATCATGCAAAAGACCTGACTGAAGATCTGGTGTAATTTAAAGTTATAATCAGAGTAAGCAGAAGCTAGTTAAAACACTATGCACTCTGCTATGGTAAATTACCTCAAAGATAATGTTTTCACCTGTACTCTAACTATATTACTATTTCAGAATTTTTTGCATTCTTTAAACACATATGCCACTTATAATTTGCATTAACCCAGCGGAGGCTTGGTAAGCACGCACACACGTTTTCAACCACAGTCTTGATGTTTGGCCATAATTTACCTGTCAGATGAGTGTTAGTGGTGCCATGGAATCAGTTCATCAACTTCCCAGTAAAATGCTGCCTCAGAATATCCTCTTTTCCAGCAGTTATCCAGTCTTTCAAAATAAGAGCATATGGTTCAACACCATTTTCCAGTGCTTGGTATTTTTTTATTTAGTCTTTTTATTACTGCATGCTATAGGCGTTTCACACCAATGACACTCCGTGTCCTTGCGATTTTGTGTTATAGCTCATCACAGCTGACCTACATATCTTAAGTTAAGACATCTAATTTACTACTAGCATTATGCTGTTTCAAGCTGATATACAGCTGTCAGACAATCTGTCAAATATTTATCTTTGAGCTAATGCAGCATCAGCTTAATCAAATGAGTTCTTCACAGTGGAATTTGCTGTCAACACTCACAAGCCAGTAATTGAGCCTTGAACAATGAGCAAGAGTTGTTATTCATGTCAGTTTTTCTGATATTTTATGAAACAAACCATCAATAGACCCAGAAAATAATAAACAGATGAATCAGTTATGCAAATAATGGTTAGTTGCAGCCCAAATCCCTTTACCTTCCCTTACTGACCTGACATTTTAATCACACCGTGGCTGCGCTTATGTCTTGTCCTGCAGAGGCTTTGAAGACGGTAGTTGGGGCAGCTATGGCTGGAGTCTCCGTGCTCAGCCTGTGTGAAAAGGGAGACTCCTTCATCATGGCAGAAACTGGGAAAATCTTCAAGAAGGAAAAGGACATGAAGAAAGGTAAGTCTTCTGTTGTATTTGCATCTTTCACCATTAATGATCTGACTCCGCACATCCCTCATGCACTCTTTCTCTCGCAGGTATTGCTTTTCCTACTTGTGTGTCAGTTAACAACTGTGTATGCCATTACTCCCCGCTGAAGAGTGACCCTGATGTCATACTGAAGGATGGGGACATTGTCAAAATGTAAGCTGCCGAATTTATACCTGTGCGTCCTGTGTACTAGATAAGTTTTTAATGAGTCAGCAGTTCATACTTTCTTTACCTCATGTTTCCCTATTCGGTTTGTCCACAGTGACCTGGGTGTGCATGTTGATGGCTTCATCTCAAATGTGGCTCACAGCTTCATTGTTGGAGTGACCAAGGTATGTCATGACTATCAGAATCAATTATAGTTGCACGGTAGCACATAATGTAAGTTAATTGTTGACTGGTAGTCGCACCCTTAACAGCTCATGATACTTTGCTATTTCATGTCTTGTAACTCTTAAAACGTTCTCCCTGTGTCAATTCAGGACAACCCGGTGACAGGACGGAAGGCTGATGTTATCAAAGCAGCTCACCTCTGTGCTGAGGCCGCCCTGCGCCTTGTTAAGCCAGGAAATCAGGTAAAGCTCTCCCACCGTCACCGCTGATTTGACCAACGGGCTACACTGCTCACACCACATCTAATAAACATCGTTACGTCTCTTCCGTCAGAACACACAGGTCACAGAAGCCTGGAACAAGATTGCAAAGTCATTCAAGTGCTCCCTTATTGAGGGTGAGTGTTTGTGAACGTTTGGCACCTTCCACCTCTGTGATTCCAATGGTATACATTTACTGAATGCAGTGTGACATGCTTGACTCAGCTTATTCCATCAATGTGTACAGGCATGCTGTCCCACCAGCTCAAACAACATGTGATTGATGGTGAGAAAACTATCATCCAGAACCCAACGGACCAGCAAAAGTGAGTTCACTCAGAGTGCTTCTTGTCACTGACCTGATGAGTGTTTAACCAGTGGCTGATCTTGTCTCTTTGTTTTTTTTTTTTTTTTTAGAAAGGACCATGAGAAAGCGGAGTTTGAGGTGCACGAGGTATATGCAGTGGATGTGCTTATCAGCACTGGAGAAGGAAAGGTGAGAGGAGATTTGGTATAAATTAGATTTTTTCTGCTTAATTTTTAAATCTCATCAAGTCAAGGAATTTAAAATACATGTTTCGGTTTGCAATTCAGGCAAAGGATGGAGGTCAGAGGACCACCGTTTACAAACGAGACCCCAACAAGGTGTACGGCCTGAAGATGAAGACATCTCGGACATTCTTCAGTGAGATGGAGAGACGCTTTGATACAATGCCTTTCACTCTGAGGTAGCATCTTTTAACTGTTTTTCTATTTTATCATACATTATATAAAAGCACCTCCCAGGCCCCCCCCCCCTTATTTTCTTTTCTTCTTTGCTTTTCTCCTCAGAGCGTTTGAGGATGAAGGCAAGGCCAGGTTGGGTGTGGTGGAGTGTGCCAAACATGAGCTGCTGCAGCCATTTAATGTGCTGCATGAGAAAGAAGGTGAGTGGAACAAAGAGGGATGAAGTTACGGGCTTTTATCCAGTGAATGGCATTTTGTCATTTACTAATCACATAGCCAAGACAGTTTTCTTTCCTGTTCCATGCAATATAATGTAATCGATTGTAGGGATTTCCTCAAAGATTTTGTGTCAAAACCTGCAGCCTCCAATAAAAATGAACTGCAGCAGTTCATTTTTAATTTAAGTTAAACCATGCTGTCCAGGACCACGCTTGGCCAGTCAAATACGTCCAAATACGCAGAACCTGATGATTAACTTAATAAAGTGAAATGCATAAAATGATTGTTGCTGGGGAAAAAAACTTTACAAAGTTGTAAAGTATTATAAATTGTGGTGCAGTGTTGATTTGCATGAAAGCTCACCTATGAATTGTAGTGCTATTTTCAGTCTGAGCACTTTAACTAATCAGATAATATATCTGAAAAAATCTGGCAAGTTTCTCCAGCATTATTATCTTTCTGTATAAAAAAAACAATGCAGTCATGCAGATGGGTCTTTTTAAATGAGAATTTTAAAGAGAGAAGCATATTTTTCACATCCTGATGCAATTTTCAACCCCATATTTGTCCAGGTGAATTTGTTGCCCAGTTCAAGTTCACCGTGCTGCTCATGGCCAATGGACCACTGCGAATCACAAACAGCCTCTTTGAGCCAGAACTCTACAAGTCCGAGCATGAAGTGGAGGACCCGGAGCTGAAGGTAAAATGTGTTTTGATGGATGGGATATTGCGTTGTCTTCCAGAGAAGATTAGATTAGATTAACTATTATAGCATGGTGTTAGCTAAAGTAGCATTTTCAAAACCATCACATATTGATGTATACTGTGTGCTAGACCTCATGAGGTTATGAAAGTAATTGATGTGTCCTCCTCCCCCACCCCCACCCACCCCATATAAAGGCTTTGCTTCAAAGCTCAGCCAGCCGTAAGACTCAGAAGAAGAAGAAAAAGAAGGTGAGCAGTATGTTTTATGGAGAAAAAACAATATTGCAGGTTGCAAATGTTTCCTCTTATTTCAATCTTTTCTTTTTTAAAGGCGTCAAAGACTGTTGAAAACGCAACAGGACAGGCAATGGAGACCGAAGCTGCAGAATAAATTTTTCTCTGCAAGAAATTCTGACAGACATCTGACGACCCAAAGAACAGACGTCATGAATCCTTCTGTCCCAGCTGTCTGAGGCACTTGCGGGCATAGCCGCTGTGAATACCTCTTCTGAATCTAACTGATGTCAGTCTGGGATGATGCTGCTCCTAAATTCTGTCAATCCACCTAAAACACACACATACGTCCCTAATAAATCTCACTGTCCTTGAGACAGCCTTCTGTGTGGACAGTCCTGCTTCAAAAGAGGGTATTTTGTTCAAGGGCATAAACTCACTGGAACATTTAACCAATCGAATGACCGTGAGCCTTCGCCCCTTTATCCACAATAACTAGTGAAAGATATGGAAAATAAAATGAGTTTGACAGAGCGGCCAAGGATGATGAATGCACAGTACTGTCACTGTAGTTGTGTGGCATAAAGATAACTTCCTTGAGGTCATAAACCTGAAGCCATGCCTTTTGAAATGAATGAATAACTTATCGTGGGCAGAAATGTGTAACACTTGTCTTGAACCCTGATGTCGTATGACATTCGCACACGTAAGCATGAAATCATTAGTTACCATTCCCGTTTATTTCAGCATAATTACTGCATTTATACAGCTCTTGCTTAGGTCCATCTGTTAGTACATTGTGTATACTTCTAGGCTTCTACTGTAGGTTAATCAGCTAACAATTTCTAAAACTGACATTGTAAGATTTAAAGGTTAAGTAATTTAACTAGTAAAAAATGAAATTATTTTTCTCGGTTGTGGATGGTCTAACTCCTGCCAAGGGTTCAGCATTCAGTCTTCTGGTACCGCTACCGAGTCTGACAGTCTGTGTTTACATAAGAAGTCCATACCTGTTAAGATACATGGATGCTTTTGTAAAACAAGTCCCAGTTTCAGAGACTATTTTTGGAAACATTAAAAAGCCACCTGACATCATTTGTGTGGTTGTGTTTTTGGACTGTGTGAACTCAACAGATTGTCTTGAGATGAGTGAAAGTGTGTTTTTCACGGGTATGAATGTTAATGAATCCACCCTCAAGTCATTTTACTGTCATTGCATCACATTTATCAAAAACCAAATTAAACAGTTTTTAACAAGTATAATAGCTTGGTACAGACAGGACTGTAGATTTTAGAAAGACTGACATCATGGCCCCCAGTCACCAATAGAAACTAAAGTCATTCAGTTAAGTGCTTTCATATGTATGTATTAATAATTTATTTAGTCAGATAACTGTACATTTACTTTCTGTACATTTTACCTTCCAACATGAACCGCAGTTTCAAAGCTTTCACCACTGCCAGGAATATACACTGGGGAGAACTGTATTTGATTTATTATTGGCCTAAGTCTGAGTCTAAAAATACTGGACCTCTGAGGACATGACTCCAATGCTCTTAAGGGGAGCTGGGGCCCTGATCACAGATAACAATATATCAATCCATACAGTATCACCAATGACCTGTATACAATATATATGGTACAATTCTCTTCTTGAATATGATCAGTTTATTAGAGGACCCGCGAGATCTGATGCATATGTGCAAAGTACAAAGTGCTATACAACTTACTGGAACAATGAATCGTAAAAACTCACAAAAAAGTTGCAGCAATGGTTCGGTGCGTTCTCTGTAAACGCTTTCACCTTCTAGAAAACTACATTTCCCATGTTTATGGCGGCCCAATCAAAGTGACGTATTCAACCCATATAAATTCGACGTCGCCAGATTATGACGTTCTTCATAGAGACGATTCCTTAGCGGTCGGTACGTAGCTAGCTGTTGGTATCACAATCCAAGTCAATCATCGCATTTTTAAATCAATCGAACTAATCCGTCACAATTTCTCTTCTGTTTTCAGCCTTCCCGTGTCGACATGAGGGCTAAGGTTTGTACTTTCTGTCTTTATGATCCAATAATCGTAGTTTCCCGTGGTGCTAAGAATAGGTAGCTGGATAGCAAGCTTGTGCAGGTCGACAGCACAGCACGCTTGTTAGCATTCTGTAAAACGCGTGCGTTGTCATGGTGTATGTATAACGTTATTTCAGTTTAGTATATTTTTGTCTTCAGAAATGCAACTATCAATTTTAAAGTAATTTTAACGTTGTCTTTATCTTACGCAGTGGCGAAAGAAGCGCATGCGCAGGTAAGAATACAACGTTGAATGTGTTTTACAGTCGTACAGTGAAGTTGTTCAAGGATTTTCGGCTGATTGGCTCTTGTAATTATCACTTTATAGGCTGAAGCGCAAAAGGAGAAAGATGAGGCAGAGGTCCAAGTAAACTGTCCTCCCCGCCATGGCTGTTGCAGCACATGTTGTCAGCACCCAAACCGGTGAGCTCAGCTGGAGACCCAAGACCCCCTCCCATCTGAAGTCCGAGGCCCGCGGCGGCAGATTGATGCTGGAGAGCGGGTTTCAAGACCTGCTGGATGACAGGCTTTCCCTCTGGGACATTCTGGACTCTTTGTTAACTCCTCAACTTTTGTCATTTGTTTTTGTTTATACTCTGATTAAAGGTTTTGGTTTAAAAAAAAAAAATGCAGCTCTTGTGGGGTTTTTTTTTTTTTTTTACTAGCTGTTTACAGTCATTGCTGTACTATTTTTATTTTATAGTATGGTTGTATAATGAGAAACTTGTAGTTGTATTTGTGCTCACAAAAAGCAAATGTTATATACAGAAATCAAACTATTTAACACTGTTCAGTGCTGAGCAATTTAGGAGTAGATCCCTATGTCTTGCCAGATGGCAGCAGGCTGGAGTAGGTATCCTTTGGGCCCTGTACAGGCACCTTACCTCACACATCGCTCATGCTCGGCTGTATATCAACAGTACCAATGACCTAAGTGGGTTTTAATCACTCACTGCAGAGCCCTCCTGTCCAGGTAGGTTGTCCCCAGAAAATATGCCTTCTAATGTAAAATGACCCATTCTGAGCATTTCAGTGTTGTAGATCAAAGTGACTCTAACTTGAATTACTAGTTAATTGACAACAGTGCATCATTTTATTTGATCATGTGGGGTGAACAGTAAGTTTCCAATGACTAACAATAGTGGAGTAGAAGTATGAGATTCAGGTTTAATTACTGAAAGTTTGGAACATTTTGAACCTGAATGGCTTGACACATCTGTAATGGGATGTTCTGGGCAAACTTCAAAAAAACAAACATTTTGGATTAAGTCCACATCCCATGACTTCGGTGGGGGGTGTGAGTGATGTAACCTCTACACAGAGCTCACTTTAGACAAACAACTCACTAATATATCTTGTTTTTACCCTTTAAAGCACTCTAATAATTCATCCTGTCCTTAGCAAAGGTGATTATGATTAATAGTGTGTTCCAGGAAGATTGCTGTAGAGGAGTGTCCCCTATTCTCTTTCACAACATTCTCTCATGCATTTGTGGTTACAACCCAACCTTAATCTGTAAGGAAATTTCTGGCAGTATCACTCTATATTTAATACATTCCACCTTATTGAACCACAAGAAATACTATTCTTTTTCCTATTCAAGACAGAAGTAGCAGTTATGGCACAATAAAAACATAGTGTAAACTACTTCACAATATATTGTTTGAACAGGGGACAAAAATCACTTCTAAAACTGAGTTCTAATGGGAGGACCAGCTTTCAATAAAACTGATCTGTCATAGCAAAGTCCTGTCATGTATCACTGACCTTAACTAACTGGAGGATTTGGGCTAGGTCAACTAGCTGGTGTAAATTAAAGGCACCAGAAAAACATGCTCACTCTGTCCTGATCAGTGACAGGAGGATGTAGTTTTAAAAAGGTTGGAGAACATTTTATTAGTGTAGATCCGGCAGGGTGGAGAGGTTGGTGACTCGTGTAGACTCGGTGTAACTGACTACAACCCCAAGTCTTAGGCTTTTCAACGCCCAACATTCTTGCACTTGCACCTCAATGGTAACTGAGAAAAATCATAATAAACTCAGTTCAAATAGCCTCTACTGAGTTGCTAAAATGTCCAACAGATGGCGTAGTGTGCGCTCTTCAAAATACAGAAACTGGTGTTACAGTAAGATACACACATTTCCCTCACTAAACAGCCTGTCATGAACAATTCACAAGTCCCACTTACTTGACTCAATATATTGAGCAAACATCGAATGTTTAGACCATAGTAATTAGGAAAGTGAATATTTAAACATAATACATAGACATTTATAGATCATTCAGTTAACAACTTTTTGTGTCAGGGTTCAAGTGTCAGTTTGATCTTAGACCTGTTTAATATTACTTGGGCGGCATCATTTCAACATCACAAGACTCATCATCCTGTGACTGCTACTTCTGCTTCTTAGCACTGGAGAACCAAACAGCTTATTTCATTAGTCACTTTCCATCACTGAGATGCAATGATATGGTTGTTCATTGAAATATGTGTGTTCTTTATTGTTGACAACCTTGCTAAACATGTAAACAAGAGTGGGTTACAGTTGCATCATGCAGACCAGCATCAGAGCATATTATCAAACAAATGTCATAGTTTGCTGACAGTAAACTGGTCTGTGAGTTGATTGATTACTTTTAAATTGACAGACAGCACATGAAAAAATTCCATCTCACTTGCAAAAAATACTGCTACTCATTTTCTTTCTTGCAAGGAAATATCCATATTTTGTGGACACAGTCAGTTGTAAGTCAGAGAAACAACAGATTGTAATACCAGTTTAGAATCTAAGTAGGCCTATATATCAATAAAACGTGTGACAAGCCACTTTATATACTAGCACATAACTGTTGTGACTTAGGTTATTTAGTGCAAGTGCAATTTTGGTATCAGGTCATAGGATGTTCCAACATTCAATAGCTGTACAACACCTGCTAAATCTTTATTTGTAAATGAGCGCATTATTCCTATAATTAAGTAAACCAAAAGAAACACTGAAATTAGAATCTTGAGATTCAGGATAACTTGTTCCTGACAACAAAATTAAGAGATATATAATGCCAAGTAATTCCAAGATATACAAAAACCATATAGAAAATACCAGCCTATACATGTAAAAAAAATATAAAAGTGCCAAATGTACAATGACACTTTTAACAAGAAAGACAGCTACTTAGTAGAAAGAAGGGAATGTCATTGGTGTAAAAAGGTCTACATGTCCAAATGTAGGCTATGGTAGGTTCTGCATTGAGTTGTGAGAGAATGGTTCCAGTATGGTAGGCTATAATATGTCTCAAATAATAAAAAATAAGAATATAGTGGTGCTTTAGGCCGTTTCCTGTAACCTGGTTATTGTTGCTTGACTGACTTCAGTAGGCCTATTCGTTTATATAGCGGTTCATCAAGCTGTTCAGCCTCTCAGCAAATACAGCTAACTCCCTGTTCCCAAGCAACCAGGAGGGCGTTTAAAGCCTGTTATTGTTGCCAAGCATGAAGCTAATGAGAAACATGTTATAAACCCACAGGACAGAACGCGCCAGAATGAGGCCGAGCTCAGTCTAAAGTGCTCAGTTTACCTGCATTTTGCTGGTGCGTATACACTGCGTTAGCCTGTGACATTTGGTGCATCCTGCTGGTGTCACGATCCTGCATATTCTATAGCATATTCTCTGTCGTAGAAAGTGAACACCACGGCAGCTGATAAATACAACTTGATAAAGCTGCAGTCAACACACACCTTTTTGTCAATTAACCTATTTGTGCTGCCATGCTCAGTTTTACGAGCTACTGCAGTGGAGATGCGCGCTTGCGCATGCAGCAGGATTTAATCCGGTTATGAAAAAAAAGATAACGGGTTGAGCAGCCTGTGCACTGTGACAGTATTTTCTAGTTTCCACGGTGATGATAATATTATTCTGAATAAAAAGTGTCCTTGTGTCTTTGGGTAAAATGAACATTCGGTCACTGTGCATAGGTCGCAATAGCCTACGCTCCGCCCGCCAGTGTGACGCTTCAAGTTAATTC